TGCACTTGCCATCTTTTTGAGTTTAAAGGGATGATTTGTAGACATTGCATTGTTGTCTTCATTCGAAATGGTGTTAGGTTTTTGCCTGAGAAGTATATCCTAGAGCGATGGAGGCGTGATGTGAAGCGGGCATACACACGGGTCAAAGTAGATTATGATGGCTGGATATGTACTGTCGAACAACAACGGTATGATGACTTTTGCAACAGTTTTCGGGCTTTGGCGAATAAAGTCGTAGACGATGAATACCGCACAAAGGAGATAATGGATTGGATTCAGAAGGAGATGTCTGTAGAAGCAATGAGAAGCAAAAATCCATCCACGGGAGTTCAAGAAATTCCCGAACATACAACAAGCACTCCACTTGTGTTAGACCCATTAATCGGCACACGCAAGGGAGCTCCAAGAAAGAGTCGTCTCAAGTCCAACAGGGAAAAGTGTGGTCAAAAGAAAACAAGAAAAAGGACTACAGAGAAAGACCCAAAACCTAAAGAAGGTAGAAAAAAAGATAACCTACCTAAGAAGAGGAAGAAAATGGATGCGTCTGAGATCTTGGCATCACAAAGGCAGCATGCTTGGCCCGTGGAAGATGAAGATGGTGTTTACGACCTCACATTGGGAGGTCTGGATCTTGGCCTCTCACTACAGTGACTTTTAACAGCTATTTTTTTTGCATCAGATCTAGGTACCGAAGCTCTGATTTTTTGGAATGAGCATGGGAACTGTAAATCACATACTTTTTTGCTTTTTGTTTTTTGTGTAAAGTATGTAACAAGTATGATAACTTTCTCTGAGTTCCCTGCACATAAACTCATGTAAACCTGATGTAACTCTGTATTCACATACATTAAGTCTCTGTGGAGTGTATGACATAGACAGTTATTCCATGTGAGCACCAAGAAATCTTATGTATCCGTTTTAACTTTGTTTTTAGCTATACAAGACCCCCACATATGTGATGAGAATCTGAAGATGGTGTATGTGCATAACGTTAAGTAACTCTGTTAGCACATACATTAAAGCTCTGTGTAATGTGTAAAATAGACAGTTAATCTCTGGGAGGGATCTGAAAGTAAATCTGTAATTCAGGCATACACTAAGGTAAATCATTCATCACATGAGTTTTGGCCCATTACAAAGATGTCAACAAAAAAACTGAAGTGCATAACAATATGGAACTCTGTCACATACGTTGAAGCTCTGTGTAACAGTTAAAATAGACAGTTATTCTCTGTGAAGGATCTGAAAGTAAATCTGTAATTCAGTAATGAGTTAAGGTAATTCATTCATAACACACAGTAACAGATTGTTCATTAACAAGTGTTTCCCCAAAAAATACATTACAAAGCACAAAAACCATTACAAAGAGTTTCACAAACATATGTGAGATCCCTACAATTGTAAATTAAAAAAGCTAAATATTGGTAGTTTTCCTTCCACGCCATAACCTAGCTGCAAATTGACATCGGAAATCAGGCATGTGTTCAGAACTGCAGTCTGGACTTAATGGTAAGCCAACCAACAAATACTCTAGATATGCAAGGACCATCACTCCACAATTGCCATACCTGCAAGGGGAAATAGTATTAAAATAAATAGGTTGGCTGAGATGATTTTCACCCGTCCATGGGAGTAGCATAACGAAGTAATGGCGAACAAACCTAGAGTCTTGTTGCGGAATACCATTGACAACAAATGTTTCCCATTCCTTCTCCAAAGTGTTTGCACCCACACCCTTAACCGTGTGAAGTAGGGGGGGTATTCTTCTTACTACTTCTTTAACGTAGAATGAGGATTTCGGCCCTTTCAAGGAGTCGTAAACTCGAACTTGATTTCGTAAGAGATCTATTTCAGCTAGAAGCCAATGCCTCCCATCTCCATTAACGGGCAAAAAAATCTACACATCAATGTTGAAAAAAATTTACAATACACACAGACAGTTTCTATATGTGAAGAGAGATTCACATGTGTTTAAGTTCAGGGAAATTCATAAGAAGCATAGTACCTTTTCAACGCCAGACCAATCAAACTCTCTTAAGAACTTATCATTAGACCACACACATTCATCGGCACTCATACGTAGTAAGTGGTTCTAAACAAGAAAAAACATAAGAATTTTGAACATCTCCTTATCTTTAGCACAATCAAAAATTTAGAACCAGATTTGGCCTTACCACAAACACTGGTCCAACAGCAGTGTAGTTCTTGCGCTCTATCCCATTGAGAACTTCCAGCATATTGTCCATAATAGCCTCCAGGTGCTTAACATATAACAGAAACAAGTTATTTAATGTCATGATACAGAAATTAATTTAACCACTAAAGCTTACTTACATCATTGCTTAGCCATTTTTCCTGATCTATAAGATCACGGAAGAAGTCTCGATTGACGTGACCAACACCTTTGGAGTGTAGTTCAATTGTCGTGGGAGAGACATTGTCCGCTTCATGTATCCAACTCTCAAGACTGTTCCAATCTTCAGCTATTATTTCAATTGTGAACGGATTTACATTTGGTCGCGCAATCTTACGCGGTCGGGGGTCTGTAAAAGGGCTGCAGTAGTACTTTGATTTTTGTCTCTTTCTCTTCTGCAACGGTTCGTTGATCACAGGTTTTCCCTTACCCAACAGCTTTTCCTACGTAAATAATGCATTAAATTGTCTCTAGCAAAAGAAAAAAAATTAAGTAAAAATAACCTACTTAAGGAATTTTACCTTGTTGAGAGTCAATTCCATGAGAAGCTTGTCTTCATCTAAATCGTCATCCTCCTTGTCATCCACTTCAACCATATGTGAATCCACTTCAAACATGTTGTCTTGGGGTTCCTGCACCATACAGACACACACGCATGTGAAAAAAAGATGCACATCATTGGTAGAAGTTATCAATGTAATGCACAAACTGTAAATTACATGTTCAGCAGTCCCCTCCACAAGCAACAAAAGCATTTGGTGAATGATCTGGCCAGAAAATTGGAGGTTCTTAATCCCCATGAAGTGGCCAATTGGAGTCTTGCGAAATTGTTGCAATTGGCCCGGACTCAATTTCTTCTCAATGTTTTTGATGGCTTCACGGATGTCAGAACAAACTGAGTACTGAGCTCCAAAATGAGCACTTACAGGGATTAACAAAGACATTGTCTGAAATGAAGTTCAATTAACACAAGTTAACTATTTACACAGACAATAATCGTATATGAAGTTCAATAAACAGAAGTTAATCGTCTATGGCATATCATTCAAAGCAAGCTAGCAAAAAAAACAAGTAGACCTGTTTCACATACAATAATGTTATATGAAGTTCAAATAACATAACTTAACCATCCGTGCCATATAATTAACAAAGGCAATTTTACAATCAACCAAATTTAATAGACAATAATCATATATCAAGTTCAAAAAATAGAAGTTAATCAATGAAACTACATTATGGAAATTTGAAATAACACAAACATACTATTATCAAATCCACAACTACATTAACACACAGTTTAAATACACCAATAAGATTGAAATAATCGGCAAAGACCAAGGAGAGGGAAATTAAGTTGAGTACCTGTTTGGGCTTAACAGGACTGCCGGAAAGGGAGGTGGAGGGGTGGGGCTGCCGGCGCTGGAGGTGGACGGGTAGGGCTGCCGCTGCTGGAGGTGGAGGGTTTGGCCTGTAATTCGAGGGTTGGGCTGCCGGCGCTGGAAATCGAGGGTTGGGCTGCCGGGGAGGGAGGTGAAGGGGTGGGGACACGACGCTTGAGGTGGTGGGGCCGGTGCGTTGCAGGTGGAGGGCTGGGGGTGCGCTGGAAGTCGAAGGTTGGGCTTCCGGCGAGGGAGGTGGAGGGGTGGGGATGCACTGGAGATGGAGGGTCGCTGGAGGTGGAGGATTGGGGATTTTGCCGGCAAGATAAATTTGGGAAAGAAGTAGCGGGAGAAGGGTTGGAGAGAGAAACGGGAGAAGGGTTGGAGAGAGATTAGATTTGGAAAAAGAAAAATAAAAAAAAATTTTATATTTGGTAGCATGCTTGGAGGCACACGTGGTGCCTCTTTAGCATTTTCCTTTTTCTTATTGTGAGGCCCTCAGGGCATCTCCAATGCATCAGCCATAATGTAAAAAATGAAACTTATAGCTACTACTGTAGCATTTTTTTCACTCCAACGGGGCTTCCAAAATTTAGAGCACAAGCTATATATGGATTCAGACCTTCCATTAATAGCAGGTTACTGTAGGTTGGCCAAAAATAAATTGGAATAAAATAATGGCAAGTGGAGGTACGGCTGCATTGGGAGGGAAGAAACAAATATCAAGAGTGTTCAGAGCCGGTGCTTTGTGAGCTGTACTTTTGCAGAACAGAGATAAAAACACAATTATATGGCCGGAGCGATTGACGGAGCTAATCAAAGGTAATGGTTTGTTCTATGGCAACCGGTGTTAATGTGACCGGACGCCGGAGCAATTGTCGGAGCTATTGCTTCTAAATTCTTAAACAAAGAAGCATCTCCAGAGCTACTCCCCGGAGTGATTGCCGGAGATTTTGTTCCCATCCAGTGCTTTTTACAGAAAGATAAATAAGGGAGAAGTGGATAATGCAAAGTAGCTAAAATCAAATAAAGAAGATGGGGTTGGAGCACATGTAAAAAATTAAGCCTCCATAACACTGTAGATAGTCTAAAACTAATGTATAGCTTCCCACTTTTAAAAGCTCCGTTGGAGATGCTCTCATGTTTTTTATCAATTCATTGATTGCATCTATTTTTTCTTCCACCATAATGTTAATTGAGATGCTCCATTAGATGAAACAAATTGTTGAAAAATATTTTTTTCGTCCTCAAATGTTTTTTCAAGTTACTATTAACACGATCAAATTTTAATCACTTTCTTTATCATTTTTTGTTAGTTATTTGATAAAGTAATATAGTCTTGTCACATCTTGTTTTGTAGAAATTTTAATGTAATTTTTAAATATATAAAATTTAATTTTTTATTTTACATCTACAATCAAATAAATTGACTTGAAAATAAAATCAGTAAGACATTGTTAAAATAAACATTTTAGGACGCAGGGAGTAACTAAGAACGTCTTATGAAAAAGAGCAATGCTAGGTTCACAAACATAGTCACAAACGTACTGATGGGTATATCCTTAAACCCGACCCGGATAACGAAAGGGACAGGTCAAAATATGACCGGTCACTTTTATCAAGTCACCAAATGATGTCAACTCTTCGATTGGGACGGGTCAAAAATTGACCGGTCACTTCCACTAAAAAAGTGACCGGTCACATTTGGGGCGATAGCCATTTCGCCACTTAATGTTGCGAAGGACATTCCAGAGGACCAAAGAGATGGGTTGAACTCAAGAAATGACCGGGTAACCTTTGAGGAAAGGTGACCGGTCATGTTGCGCTACTTGAGAAGGGCAATCAACATCAGAGGCTAGAGGACACCCCGCCGCTCATCCATCACGAGGCAAACAGTGAAGGGAATGATTGGCGTTTTGCAGGATTAATTGGATTGAGAATATCCATGTTAGTCTTTGATTGAACAGTGCATGTCTTGGCTTGTAGTTGCTATATTCATTGATTGAATAGTAAATTGATTATGTACAGTGACCTTCCTCCGGGTTTCCCATTTTGTCCATGGATGAACAGGGGAAGGTCACAAATCCTCCTCTATAAATATGATGATATTGGATAGAGGAGGGGATCCATTCTTTCTCTCACTAAAAACTAGTACACTCTTGAGACAGAGTAAGAAATATATTTCGGACTAAGGAGATTTACCCGGTTTAGGTCATACTTTGTGTTCTTGTTGTGTGTTTTATATTACGGGTCGAGTGTCCAGGTCAAACCCGGTCAACCCACCCAGCTATATTTACACCATCACGTACCATTTATTGTTTAAATTTTAATGTTAAAATTATTTTAGACTACTTAATTTTTTTATTGAAGTTCACAAATAGGAAATTTGTGATGTTTGTGATTAGTGTGTTTGTGAACCAAGCATTTTTCTATGAAAAAATATACTCCAAAAAACAAAAAATAATCAATTAAAATGAAAAATTGCACTCCCAAAATAAGATTAAAACAAACTATTTATTCTCAAAATAAAAATGACATATTGTTAAAAAAGTTCATTCCCCTATATAGTCTATCACTTTATCCTTCCACCCAAGTCTTCCAATTTATATTCTTCTTAAAAACCTATATATCTTTCCCTAAAACCCCACAACCTAAGAGAAGTATATGAGATTTAGAGGGTGTTTGGGAGTGTGGTGAGTTATGTAAAAGTAGAAGTCAAAATTTAAAAGCAGAAAGCATGTATTTTTAGCTTTGCTAGAAAGCACTTCTACACCTTAATTTTAACTTCTAAAGCCATAATTTATAAGCTAGAGCAGATTAGCAAACATTCAAAATTGTGTTTTAGTAAAGTAGAAGCTATAAGTTATTTTCAAATGCAATCCCAAACATCCTCTTAAACTCATTTTCTCCTCATATTCTTGCGTACCGCGTAATCTTGCATAAAGACCTTGATTTAGAACTTGTTTTGATACAAAGGGCATAAGATGTGATGTTGAACTCAGAGAACTAAATAGACACAAAATTGAGAGAAGTAAATACACATAACATTGGATAGGTTGTGTGTTATGTAAATTACCAATGAAAAATTCATGGGCGTATGGTTTTATAGGCAGGTGATAGGTTGTTTGAATGTAATAATACACAGCATTAAATACGTTTGCTAGATTTAGAATTTAGGAAATATAAACCTCACAATTAAGTGGAGTTAATGAGGGTAATATATTTGTAATCTTGCAATGATTGCAAGATTTTTAAAAATTCAAAATATGCAGAAATGTGGATTTTTATATTTTTGCATTTGAGTTTAGAAAAAATAAAAATGGGAAAAAAATTAAAATTTTAAATTTTAGATTTAAAATTTAAAAATCAACAATGAATGTGAAACTTGTCACCGATAATAATCTTAAAATTTAGGTTTGAATTTGAAACCAATTGTAATCCTTTATACTCCCTCCGTCCCCGAGTGTTTGTCCACTTTCATTTTTGCATACCATCCAATGCACTTCTTTAATCCATTTTATCTTGTAATTTATATATTAAAAAATTATAAAAATTATATATTAATAATCTATATGTTAAGACGAATCAAACAAGATTACACATAACTATTTTTAGGCTTACACATTGAGAGAATTTGATGAGTCAAAGTGCTTAGATGAACAGTTCCAAAAGTCAAAAGTGGACAAATACTCAGGGACGGACCAAGTATATAATATTTGGGAGTTAAACTCCCAGAAATTCGACATGTGGCAGGCTACTTGGCAATTTTTTTTACACATCATCAGCCACATTTGATGACTTAAGTGACTTGGCAATTTTAACTTAAAGTATGAAAACATCTTATTAGAGCAAATATTCATTCCCAATTATTGCACATATGAAAAACGTTTACGAGGTATATGTAAAGTAATTATTATTAGGAGGTTATAAATGTTAATTATAAAAAACTTTCAATTAATTGCTAATGACATTTATTGGCTAATCCTTCCTTTTATTATAAAATTTGAGACTCTGGCTTACATGATATTGGCATGTCACGAGCTAATATGACATTTTTAATACATCATCTGTTGTCTATTTATTATTTTAATGAGTTGGTAATTTTAATCAACATACGGAGTACTAATTTGACATTATTTTATTTTATTTTTTATTGATTGAACATAGTGACTAAATTATTTGTCTTTTTAGTTTCATGCAGTTAATCTTAAGAATTAGTAACTCTATTGTTTTTAACATCCGGTTCATTTTTCGAATGATATGTTTGACCAATGAAATTTTTTATCAAACATATTTTTATTTTGAGATTATAGTCTAATTTTTAATATTTCAATTCATTATATATTTATATGAATAATTATTCAAACATTTGGCAGCAAAGCGAATTGAGACAGTTAATGAATAAAGTTTTTAAAATTATTTAAACATACCAATTTATTTACCATATATACGTGTAGGGGGGGGGTAAAGAACACTTTCTATTTTTGGATTTAGAATTACTCCGTCTGTCCCCTTAAGATCTTTTCATTTTGACTTTTTGTGGTTTTTAAAGAAAGTTGAAAAATTGTGAAAATTTACCATAATAACCTTAATGAAAATGGATGGAATGTATTAAATGAGGTAGGTGAGGTGTAATAAATAAACTAAGTGGGGATAATTGTGGTATATATTTTAATTGTTAAAAAAGGTAATGAGAAGATTAATGGTGGACAAATAAAAAGGTTAATGACAAGATCTATGAGGGAGAGATGGATTATATTTTTGCATAAAAGAGTGATTTAGATTCATCCATTTTTATGAAATAATTAATTATGCACCTACTTCTCTGAATGAATTTTATTAATTTTATATTTAGGTTAGTAGTCTTATGCTAAACAAAAAGAATGGATTCGGTTGCTACATATCTTGAAAAAAATGACCATATTAAAACTCCTCATTGTATAAGTAGATTTAATCTTCTCATTTAACTTTTAACGCTCTCCAATATAATATTTTGATCATTAGTATCAATATTTATACTTATCGTATCTTATGAAAATTCATATTTCAAAACAACATTTTAAAAAAGATTATTGATATTGCATTTATAGATAAACAAAAATTGTTTTTTCATATATCGAGGCCAATCTTTATCTTTATATATTAAATTTAAGAGTTAAACTCATAGAATTACAATAAGTGGTGAGTCTACATGGCAACATTTTAACAAATCGTCCGCCACCTATACGGATTACGAAGTGCCACTATAATTATTTGGGGAAAAAAACTAAAATAAGATTAGAATATGGAGAAAGTGCCAAAGTAGGAGTTTCTTATTTTTTATCTCCAAAATATTAAGTACAATACCAATATTTTATTATATAGTGCTAAAAACTTTATGAAATGGTGATATACAGTGCCACAACGTCACTGTGTAAACTTTATTTAGGAAATAAAAATATTGAACTCTTATTCTGGGCATAAGATTTATGTCTAACTTCTATTTGAGTGATTTTTTTAGTTTTGTTTAGGAAATATATATAGAGTAATATATATGGAGTAATAACTACCAAAAGTTTCCTTCTATACTTATATTACCTTATATATCTTTTTTTATTTTACAAAATCATCATCTTTCCTTCAACTTCTTGGGAACCTCTTTGCATACCTTTTTTTTTTCTTCTATAGTGTAGATAGGTGAAATTGTGAAAACTATTGTGTAATTGATGATGTACTCACACTTCATTTGGTAAGTTTAAGGGAGGGCATCATTAATTAAAAAGGAAATTGATAGCATTATTTTTTGGTGAATTATATTATATTTTCCATATTCTTTGCGGAGCTTACGAGAACAGATTTCCAATTTTGTTGATCGGAAATCCAACATTTATTATTTAGCTACTAAACATGAAGAGATTCCTTTTTTCTATATAGCAAGGTTAAAGTATACAAAATTTGACCAAGAAAAGTCAAATGAAAATATTAAATCCGAATGGAGACTAATAAGACCGGGACTAAGTTACAAGTTACAACCACATCTAAGAGAAATATAATTTCAAATTTATAATTATTTGTATTTTGATAAAACATTTTGTATGTTGAATTGACAAGAATACTATCAAGGGATTGAATAATTTTGCATTATAAAAGTGAAAAAGAAAAGTTTGCAAATGATATTATGAGATACTTATCTGCAATAAATGAATATCAGCACAATATATACGATAAGATAATGGAAGTTGTGACACCTGAAAGAGGATGTTTCTTTTTTATGTATGGTTACAGTGGAACTGAAAAAATATTTTTTTATGGAAATTAGTGTTTATTTCTCTAATGTCAAATGATAAGATTGTCTTGAATCTCACATCCAGTGATATTGCAGCATTACTTTTTCATGGGGGAAGGACATGGGTGAATAACATTACACTTGAGATTCTCAATCTCTTTGGGCGATTGCATAGCATGTGCCATCAAACAAGAGAATCTGAAAGCAGAACTAATAATATGTGATGGAGCATGTATAATGAATAGATTTATTTTTAAGGTGCTGAATCACAAAATGAGAGATGTAATGAATTTCTCTAATAAAAACTCTAGAAATGAACCGTTTGGAGGGAAAATAGTTGAATTCAGAGGGGAAAAAGTAGAACTCGAAGGGAAAATATTGTATTCAGAGGTGATTTTTGGCAAACTCTTCCTGTTTTACCCAAAACTTCAAGAGAAAAAATTGTGAGTGCTATCATCTATTCTTTAAAATTATGGTCGTATTTTAAAATTTATATGTTAGCGAAGAAAATGATATTACATTCTTCTACGTCCCCTATCCCAGATAGGGACACACAAATTTTTTCTGATTGGATAAATAAAGTTAGAGATGAAAAATTAGACAAGTGATTGATGAAACAACTAACCTTAAAATTCTGCACAAATTATTAATTCTAGACACAAGTTATTTTGTGAAAAGTATAGTGGACTTCACTTATCTTATTTGAACCTATTGGAGAGTATGAAAATTTATTCATTTTTTAGGATAGGGCACTACTGGACCATGCTTGAGGTTGTAGAAATGGTAAATGAATTTGTCATATCCCTCATTCCCTAATATGAAATGGTGTGCCTGAGTTTTGATTCTTCATGTCAGGCCGATTCAGATGTAATTATTGATGACAATTAAATAACAATTAAATTTTAAATGAAATCAAATGTTCGGGGATCCAAAACTACAAAATAATCTTAAAAATGGGTTAACGATTTTGATATTGAAAACATTGACCAAATAAGTGGATTATGTAATGGTACACGATTAATCCTTGAAGAGCTGTGAAAGAATGTTGTTGGTCTATTGTGGTTTTGAGAAATCGAGTCAGCAAAAAGTTTACATACTCCAAATGAAATTGATACCATCAAATCTAGGACTACTCTTGAAGTTATTTATAAGGCAAATCTCAATAGTCTTATATTTTGTAATGACTATAAATAAAAGTCAAAGTCAAACATTGTCATTTCTTGCATTACTTTTAACCAAGTTGGTATTTACTCATGGTCAGCTTTATGTTATGGTTCCATGAGTGAAGACAAAAACACAATTAAAAATATTAGTTCTAGATGACAATGATACCTTTGCAACTATATCAAAAAAATTATATACCCTACAGTCTTTCAAAAAGTATGGTATTAAAAATAACTTGGTTGAATACACATTCAATTCCTCAAATATGGTTTATTCTACTTTGGAATTTTTGTATATAGTATTAAAAATCATAGGGAAATATATTTTCTTTATTCTGGGAAAAAATATTGCATTATAAAAGTTTTAGAACCAATAAAAATTTTGTTCGACCCCGTGAAGTGCACGGGTAAAAATACTAGTAACTGTGTATATTTGTGAGTAGAATGAGGATTCAAATCAACTTCATTAAACCACATTTATTATGGGTATTATAGGTTAAATGGCAATATTGGCTAGGTGGTATTTATAATTAATATATTGATGGCAAATTTAATTGAGTATTATTTTGTGTTGACCAATTTAAAGACACTTAAAATAGGGAATAATTTTGTACCTAAGATTTGATGCTATGAGATGATGGGTGGCAATGATGATAATAATGGTACATGAGTCAATCAGCTCCTGGACTGTCTGCATTTTAGGCCACCATGGCTTATCTTTTAAATCGCCGTGTCCTTGCTCTCTGAGTTCCTTCCACCAAACCTGAAGTTCAGTATCTTTCAGTACCATGTCATCTGATTTGTAATAAAACTTGCAGTAGTCATCTACCCATGTTTTGATAGATGACCATATTTCTAGCCCATCAACAGCATATGGATAGTCTTCGATTAGTAGGCGAACACCATGTGGAGAATTTTTGTCTTCAACAGCCAGACCTCTGCAAAACCATATAGAACTGTTAAATCACTTGCATTGCTATATTATGACACTGGAGTTGCCAAAATTTTAACAAAAAGCAAAGTAAATGACGTGTTCAAGATCAACTAGTGGCATCATAATGACATATCATTGCAATGGAGAAAAACTTCACTGAGTTTATGGTTTGAGTGTTATGGTGGAGGCAGTAAGAAAAGACAATGGTTTATATGGGATCGTGGCATACCTCTTTACAAGATCAATTGGGAGTGCCTGGTCAGTGAAAACCCAATCCTTGTAAACTACGGCAGACATTTCCATGGCATATCTGTCAGGGAAAACTGTCTTCTCAAGAATTCCACCACCATTGATCAATATCTGGCGAGCCAAAGCATTGATACTCATGGTGTCGCGAAAATGGGGATGCAGAAGCTTATATAATGGGTGAAATGCACTCAATTGCCTATTTGTTGCAATAACGAATGGCTCAATCACAGCATGCGTGTTCAACCTATGATGGAGATTCAAAATAAAAAATTAAGGAATAGATAATATATCTAACAAAGATCTAATTCTATTTGATTTTATAAACGGCAAAATACATAACAACAAAGATCTAATTCTATTTGATTTTATAAACGGAAAAATACATACCAGTGGCTGACCAGCTGATGAACCCCTGAATCATTTACAGCAACATAAGCTTTAGCTAATTCCCACACACCATTTTCTACACCTTGTTCAGCTGGTGTGTACACTTTGCTTTCAGCACCAAATTTATCTCCTAGTGAACTGGGCAAGCTGAGCTCAATTGCTATAGGCTTCAAAGTCCCATCTGTTTGCAGGAAAAGCAATGTTCTAGACGCATAAATTTTGTTACTTGTTGAATTTATGCGCCTCAGATACGGCATAAGCATGTCATGATGGTTCAATATGAATAACTGGTTATTCTTTATTGCCTGTACCAACAACATCACATGGCATCAATATTTTAGAATATTGGGCTTTTACAAATTAAGTGCAACCAACAAACTAAACGAATTACCTCCTCAACAGAAAGACCATCTAATCTTCCTTGGATATTCTCTTTGGTGATTTTACTGGTGTGGTCGCCATAAACATTAGGATCAAGTTTACTTTTTGGCGGGAACTCCTGCAATGAAAAATTTCACAATTAAGGATTTGTCTTTAACAACTTAACTGGGTATTCAGACACCATTATGTTATACTCCCTCCGTCCCCCGGTATTTGTCCACTTTCATTTTTACACACCATCCAATACACTTCTTTAATTCATTTTATCTTGTAATTTGTATATTAAAAAATTATAGAAATTATATATTAATAATCTATATGTTAAGACAAATCAAACAACATCACACATGACTATATTTAGGCTTACACATTGAGAGAATTCAATGAGTCAAAGTGCTTAGATGAACAGTTCCAAAAGTCAAAACTGGACAAATATTTGGGGACGGAGGGAGTTTATATTATAAGTTTGTGAAGAAGTTTAAATAGTGTAATACTCCGTAAAAGTTTAGGTACTTGGAGTCGACTAATGATGACAGGGTTCACTCCAGCCAGCATTTCTCTTCCAAATTCATCATCCGTTCTCCATGCAGTTTTATCCTCTATATTGCAGCATCCAAGTTTTGGGAATTAGAAACATCAGGGAAAAAAATAAGCCAAGAAAATAAACAAAAGTTGTACAAATACCTTGGATAACCTGTGGGGTTGGGAACTTAAAGAGCCCCTCGCCATCACTACGAAATATTTCCCTCAGCATCTCAATGGGAATGTTATCAGTGATGGCTTTGAGCAAGGGCCCTTGTGGCAATTTGATACCTCCTTCATATAGGTTAAGTACATCTTGAAAGCTGTCAAACTCGTTCGGGCTAGAATCAGACAGAGACTTGAATTCAGGGAAAAGGAACAGAACGAGAGATTTCAATGCATAAGTAAGAAAGTCTGCCAGTTTTACGTGTCCGAATTGCTCATCCCTTGGAACATATATATCTAAGCTCATAGTAAGCGGAATCCTACTCTCGGAATTAGGATCTGGCAAGGTAGTAAAGAAAGTTCGGTCACTTCGAGTTCGAATTATTTTAGGTTTGGGTAAATTTTGGTTCGGGTTGAGAACTGTATGTTTATTACCTAATGTCATCGAGCTCAGGTCAACCCAACAGGTTATGACTTTGATTTTTAAAATTTTTAAATTCACATTAACACTTACATTTTCTATTTAAAACATTTAAAATATAAAAACAAGTATTAAATCTATTAGATTATTTTATTTTTAATTCTAAAGTAATTTATTAGATATATAAATCAATATAAGGAATTTAAAAAATGCTTAAGTTTTGGAAAAAAGTAAGATAATTATGTAATATTATTAAAATTTTATCTGAAAATATAAATTTATATACTAAAAACGAGTAGTAAAGTGTGTGATTTTGAAAAATTCTTACTCTAGCGGGTCGTCAGGTCGAACTCGGGTTCGGTCGGGTTTGACCGATTTTTAGCGGGTCATTTCAGGTTCGGTCACTTTTGGGTCCGGTCATCAAAACCTTTGTTCAAAACCTAGTGTTTTCAGGTCGGGTTTCGGGTCACAAACAGATCGAGTCATTTTTTGTCACGTCTAAGAGTAATTAATTAAATTTTGTCTTCAATGTGTAGTACTTTGTAGTTCTTACACCTCTCCCTTCTTTTCCTTTTTTTTCTTTTCTTACATGGTGGTGTGTATTTATACACTTAGGAGGGATGAGACTTGTCTTGGAGTTATGGGTAGGAATTAGGAATAGATTAGGAAATTAATTAATTATATTATTATATTATAAAATCTTTATATTTATTTATTGAACTGTAACATCTATTACACTCATAACTCTTTACATCAAAGTCTAAACTTAACAAACTATATATTGTTGGTCACTTTTTTATGAGATCTACCCAAAGTACTTAATTTTTATATTAAAAGATTGACTTTACAAATAGTTTATATTTTCGAGTCTAAAAATAAAATAGGACCTTATATTTTTTTTTATCAAAATAACGGCTAAACACTAAGCCGGCTAATTTTTTACCCAAAGTTAAAATATTGTCAATAAACGATTCTTTTAACTATATCGTGAAGGGACGACAACAAAATCACACCCAAAATTCAGTCCACAGACAAACACGGGTAATGCTACCTTGCTCCTGAATATTTTTACGTGTATCCTAATTCACAACTCAAATAGTCTCATTAGTCTCATTTGACATTCTTAGGAAGAAAAAAGAAACTTGATAAACATCACCTTTAAGTGTTGCCTCAGGCCCATAGTATGTCAAACAAGATCACGCTTAATGCTAAAATTCTTAATCAATACATCTATGAGACCTATTAACACCTTGTAGATATATGTCAAAATTCTTAAGCAATGAATAGAAACTCAATAAATTGCTATAGTAAAATGTCCATACAGTGTCAAACAAGACCACAATTAACGCCACACGTAACCGCATAATGACAATCAAGTCATTGTATAAAGTCATACATGTAAATGCATAATGTTAAACAAAGAGATATTGTCAAGTATGACAATGTACAGTGCCACACTTTGAAATGTATAATGATTGCCAATATATAATGTTACATATCACACATATGTTAATGCATAGTCTCAAAAATTTTAAACATCAAAAAACTCAATTTGCCAACACAATAATCCTTTAGTTTCAATATATGTTTTACAAAATAATTTTCTAAGAAGTAAATTTAGATTTAAAATCAAATGTCACAACTTTTGTGAAATTGAATATAAAGTTGAATCCAAAGTTTCAAACTCACACAAGGCTAAAGAATTAGTACCAATTTTACAAAATAATTCCCTAAGAAGTAAATTTTTAGATTTAAAATTGAATTTAACTTCTCGTGTCAAAATAAATATTAAATTAAATTCAAACTTAACCAAGGGAACAGAGGCATCCGAGCGACGGAAAATGAAAATGGTGGAGAGGGGTGGAAGGAGATTGTGTGTATGAGAGAGAGGGAGATGATGGAGAGTGTGGTGGAATTATTATCACATAGAAGAGATGGTAGCGGTGAAGATGGGCTTGAGATTAGGTTGTTAGCGTTAGTAACTGTGATTAGAACGAAGAAGGAGACCAAAGAAGGATGAGATTGGAAAGGGCCATGTGACTTTTTCGATTGCACAGAGCTGAGATGTGGTGTGGTTTGTGCGGAAGAGTACATGAAAACAAAAGTTAATTATTTACTCCTATTTAGATTAATTTAAGTTTAAACTCCTATTTTAAGGATATGACATATGTTTTACTCTTATTTAGAGAATTTTCTTTAATTAATAATGGTTACCATTTTTCAAATTTTGTAACATACGGGAGAAGAGAAACATTACCAATGTTTTTATAAATTATTTGGTGGAGATGAAGGATACGGAAGGTCTGGTGGCAGAAGAGGATTATGATAAATCTACCAAATCACCACGTCAGGTAATTTAATTTCTAGTCCTTGTTAGTCGGTTTATTTGTTGTGCCCACGCCTTAGAGGGGGGGTGAATAAGGCGTTTGAAAATCTTTTCGGAGTTTGATAAAAACGGTGTTGGCAAATGCGGAAGCAATAAGTAAAACGCAAAAATAAAAGCGTAAAGTAAATGCACACCGATTTTATACTGGTTCGGGAACTCCCTACTCCAGTACCTTAAGGCTCCTCCTTAAGGATTTCCGAATCCACTAAGTCTTGGTCTCTTGAACTCCGTCAAAACACCGCACTAGTTTGGCAAACAACCCTTGCCAATAGGATTCACTCTGAGATTTTACAACGGCTATCTCGTACCGTTCCCACAAGGATTTCAAAGGCTATCCTTGAACTTTTACCCAAGGATTTATACGGCTATCCTTAACCGTTACAACATGAGAATTTAACGGCTATTCTCGACCGTAAGAAGGTGTGTTTGAGAAACACAAACAAGAGTTCTACACAACGGCTTGAATATAAAAATGAAGAATTAGCCGGTGTAGAAGACAAGTATACTCTCTCAAAAATACAATTCAAACTTATGAATATGAGAGTATATAACTAGAAACACAAGCTCAAAGTGTGTATAAAAATCAGGAACTTTAAAGCTCTTAAAATAGCCAAAATATAGAAAATAATTAATAGAGTGAACACACTTAGAATATTAAATTAGAATGTTTGGAGCTTTGTTTCTTGAAGAAATATGAAGGACTAGGCTTGTATTTATAGTGTAAGATGTTAATTAGCCGTTGGGAGGTGATTAGGGTTGATTTAATTCAAAATCGTAAATCAGGAACAATACTCCAACGGATCCGGTAGGCAGGTGCCGTCCACACGGTAGCATGGTACCGTGCGTACGGTAGGGGGTACCGTGAGAGGCGGTACCTCGGTACCGTGTAGCACAAAAAATAGGTTCGCTACTGGCGGTACCTGGTTAGGACAGGGTACCCAGCCGGTTCAGCCTATCGTACGATACCAAGGTACCGTTACACGGTATGGGGGTACCGTGTATGCGGTATACCCTACCGTTTGGGGTACCGCTAGGGTTACCGTGACACTGTCCTGATTTTTTTAAAATTTCCGTAATCCTTCGTGTTTGAGTTTAAAACCTTTTGGATATTTGAAAACGTTTATTGGACGGTTTTAAACATAGTTTGTTAGTGCTTTTGAGCTTGTGAATATAGGTATATAAAATCATATTCTTACATTGGTTTCCACCTATATTCTACGCTAGTTTGGTGTTTCGACTTCATTCTTGAGTACCGAATCTTAATGGATTGTTGTTGTACCTGAAACACTTAAACAAACGTCAAGCTCTTATATTGTTTGTTAACATCAAAACATGAGGCTTAGCAAACCAAGACTAACAATCTCCCCCTTTTTTATGTTGACAAACAATATACTTCAAAGTGAGTTAGGCGGGAGTAAAATAATGAAGCAAGCAAGCTCCCCCTAAGAATAAGCATATTGAAAATACTCACTTTGAACTTTTTCTTGTGTTTATTAAAAGTTTAAGTTTAAAGCAAAAGTTTATACAAGAATGCACTCAAGTCAAGTTGCTTATGCACCACTTTGAAGTATACATCTACTCCCCCTTTTATCAAAATAAAAAAGGGCATTTAGAAAGTTTTAACCATGTATAACTTCTTGAGACCCTCCCCCTTTCAACATGAATTTTAAAAAAATGATAGTCGAGAACATTGGGCAATAGGTGCATTTACAACGAAACTCCCCCTAAAGATAAAAACTCCCGCTAAAATGATGCAAGTTTAAAAATTTTATTTTTTCAGGGATTTGTAGGGATTAATTTCTAAAATGCATGATTTAAAGATGAATTAAAAAATTAGTCATGCAAACCAAGGCTAAAGCAAATAAAAACATGTATGGGATAAGGTTTCATTTTTGAAAATAATTAAAACCAAACAAAATATCTTATCCCAAAAGGCTAGAAGAATTTAGATTTTCTAATTTTTTCCAGTTTCTTTCAGTTCCTTCCAATTTTTTCCAGTTTCTTCCAGTTTCTTCCAACATCCTGCTCTTTTTTTACAGTACTAAAGAACAGACACTAAGGGTGAAAAGTGGCCACAAATATACTATCGGGAAACTAAAATTTATTGGCGCCGATGCATAGAAAAAAGGGGGGCAAACCATTAAAACATACTATTCTCTCCATTTTACAAGAAAATTTTCCAAATTAAAAAAAGAAAATTGAAGGGTTCTGAGAAGATTTTGGCATTCTAGCCGTCTACAATTCTCTCCGTCAAAAAAGGAAAATTGAGTTAGGGTTCTGAGAATCGCCGTCTACAATTCTCCCAAACTACAATTCTCTCCGTCTCTTCTCCGATCATAGAAGTGTTCGATTAGCTCTATCACAGGTCAGAATCGCCGTCTCTTCTCTGTTTTTTACCAATTGAAGCACCATCATGTTTTTTACTAATCGAAGACACCTTCATCCCTTTCCCCTCTTTAATTAATTTACTTCCATAAATATTCAGTTTAATATACTACCCTTTGTTACTGTAATTTTCCATATGATGGTTTTCTTTAATTTATTATTGAAAAAAAAAACAAACTCAAAAATATGGGAGTTGAAGATTAATTACTTTTTTGTGGTTGTAAGTTTCTCATGTTG